GCAGCCAGTGATGCCTATCCATCTGAGATCTGTGCCGATCTTTCTATTTCCAGATCGTGTTTCTGTCCTTCTGCCTCATTCTCTCCCCCAGCATCCGCTCACCTGGGAGCGTAGAGCCACAGCTGCAGCCCAAAGGTGAGTGCTCAGATGGGGACTGAGGTGTGGATTCAGGTGAAGCGCTGCCCTCCAGGTCACAGCACCTTCCTCAGAGACGGCCTGAACTCTGAGGCACCTCCAACTCAGCAGCCCCTTGCCTGGGGCAGCCACTAGGTTTGGCTTTCATGTCTCACCTAAACTGTGAACTCTAGCCCTGTTGCAGAGGGCTGCCTGGGAGCAGGGCCCTGGGCCAGGGGCGGTGCAAGGACTGGGGAGATCTGGTCCCTCTTGGAGCACAAGTTGTGCTTGTGCCTGGCAGCTGTGCAGCAGCTCCCCGCCTCCCCTGGGAGGAGGAAGCCCTAGTTGAACAGCTTTTCCTTGCTCCTGGGCTTTGTGGTGGCTCTGTGCTTGGAGCTGGAGGGTTGGAGGCTGGAAATGACAGAGCTGGCTCTACCTGTCTTACAGTGCTGTCACGGCAGATCCGCGAGTTCCCGAACCAGGGAGCACCTGATGTGCAGCAGGATACTGAGCTGGAGGGCTTCAGCCTAGAGCCTGGGGACTCCTCACTGTCGGGCAATCTCAATCAGTCGTGGGAAGAGGGGCAGAGTCCACTTGACCCTGATCTCATACCTTTCAACAGCAACTCATCTTCTGATCCCCCGGCAGCAGCAGGCTCCGAGCTGGGCCCGCCCCAGAGCGACCCTTTGCCGGCAGCGGTGCTGGTGCCGTGGAAAGCCAAGGGTCAGGAGTGGGTGGAACACCCTGACAGAGTTCTCATCCAGCAGCACCATGCCAACGAGATGTGACCACTGCTGCCTCCTTGGGGTGATGCTGGGCACCCCACGGGGCAGGGACAGAGCTGCATTAACATCTATCCAAGCAGTTTCTTCTGAATACTCTCCAGATTGGCAGCACCTCAGAGGGTTTACCAGGGAAGAATCATTCTGACACCATAGCAGGACTCCATCTGAGACAGGACAGGAAATTCTGAAAACTTCACTATGGCTGCTGATGTTACTTGCAGCTGGAGTGTATCTGGTGGCTTGTGGGGATGGGCTGTGGTGTGGAAGGTGAAGGCAGTCGGGCCTGAGGTGCCTGTGCTTGGTCTGACCGGTTGCAGTTCATGGTGGAGGCCACTGCCCTGCTTCTTCCCTGCCCAGGTGGAAATGAACAGGCACCTCTTTACTCTGTGTGGTGGCTGCATGCATCTGTCTCACCTCCCTTCCCCTTAATCCTGCAGTGTTGCCTGATTTCTAGGTAGTGAGACCTGACCTTCAGTGCCCTCACAGGGGGTGGTCCTGCCTGCCACTGCGACAGACCCCGTGTGTCGCCTGTTCCTGCTAGCTTTTGAGCCATGGCCACAGCTCCCAGCCTGGCTAGAGAAGGTAATGTGGAGTCCTTCCTGAGCCATGTGTGCTGTTTGCCGACTGTAAGGGCTGAGCCTTTCATCTCCTGCAGGCTTCTGGGCCTCAGGGAGCTGGCATACCTTGAGCCAGACTGCTGAGGCAGCATGGACAGAGAGCAGCAGAGATGCTTGCTCTTGAAGGCTTTCCTGGCCACAGGATGGTTTCAAAGCCATGTCCTCGTGTGCCCAAGCCTTGCTGTGCTGGCTGGTGATGCAGTGAACTGGTTCTGGTTGCTCCCCAGGGCTGAGCAGAAACACTTTGAGCTGGTGAATGGTATCTTTCCTGAAGTGCAGCTTAGTGGTACCTGTAGATCAATCTCCTCATCCAACTTCAGGACATTTCATAGAGTCATGTAGAATGGTTTGGGCTGGAAGAGACCTGTAAAGGTCATCTAGTCGAGTTCCCCCTGCAATAAGCAGGGACATCTACTGGATCATAATAATAATAGCTTCCTTATTAATAAAGTCTAAATAAATACTAATGGTGTGTGACTGTGTCCTCTGTGCTTGTTTTGGTAAGGTGCTGGACTGCTGGGTGAAGGCTGAGGACTGCACCTTGGGCTGGGGACCTTGGAGGAACCCAAGGGAGGCTGGGGTGATCACTATCACAGTCTGTGCAGGGGGAATGCGTGCTGCTTTCCCTTCCCGTGCCTGTGCAGAGGGGCTTGTTGATGGTTTGCAGGGCTGTTGCTCTGCTCTCACCCCTCTTCAAGGGTACAAAAACACTCTTGGAGAAAAGTGTGTGTGGTGAGCACCTCATGCCCACTGTGCACACCCGAGCCCGCAGCACCGCGGAAGCAGCAGCTTCCCCGATAAGGAAGCGTGGGGAGCCGGTGCTGGTGTCATCCCCCGCCACTGCTTTCGTAACCGGGAGCTGCACAATTGCAGGAAGTGGAGCAGGGCCAGGGTGCTGCAACAGCCCTGTCCCCTCGGCTGCTCGGGGCCACCAGGAGGGCTCTGCCTGCTGCGGGGTTGCTAAATCCAGGCTGGGTCCTGGGTCTGGTTGGGATTGCTGGGTCCATGGGAGGCACTAGCAGACCCTGAGGTCAGGCTGTGGAGCCCAGTGTGGGGTTTGGGGGCATGGGATCTCCCAAGGCTGTGGGTGAAGGAAGCTCCATGCTTGCAGCCCCCTCGGGAAGCAAAGAGTGCTTGTGCTGGCGAACGAGATATAGAGCTTAATGTTGAGTCTCTACCTGGGGAGGAGAGACTCACCCAGGGGTCTGTCTCAGGACAGGCAGCAGCAGGGTCCCAACAGTGTCAGGTCACGGTTTGGTACTCTGCCTGGGGCTGGCAGCCCTCAAGCATCTCCAGGGAATCACTAACCCTTTTATTCCCAGGAGCTGTGCACGGGATCAGGAAGGTTTAGGACCCCATCCTCACTTTAGTTTCATTTTTTGCAGTTCAAGGCTGCAGTGTGTAATGCCCATCCTCACTTTAGTTTCACTTTTTGCAGTTCAAGGCCAGGGTGAGTAATGCCACTGGTGTCACATGTGGTCCCTGCCCCAGCACTAATCAGTATTGAATGAGTCATCGGAAGTAATACATGGTGCTGTTGCCAGCGAAGTAGGGAGCAGCCTCTGGAGCTGGTGTTTGCCTGGGGGTGATGCGGTCAGTACAGCTCTCTGCATCAGTCAGGCTTGCTTGGCCAAGTATCAGGAAGGGAGATAGCTCTGGGAGAGAGGGCAGGGAGCCAGGAGCCGGGAGTTTTAGGGATGGCTGCTCCATGGTCTCAGCCCATGATGACTGAGGTCCGGTATTTTTCATTGCTTTCCCACAGTGAGCAGCTCTGAGCTTGTGAGAGGAAGGAAGCCCAGCCTGGGCTGGGTTACCTTGGGTTAAAGGGTAGCGATGATAAAAGTGCCCATAATGAGCTTTTCATCCAAGGATCTTGTTACATCAAGTAGAGGAGCAGGAGGCACCTGGTATTCCTACCACCCTCCTCCTCCTCCTTGCTGCAGATCCTCTGTCTTTTTTCCTTGCATGCTGCAGGGATCAGAGCATAGACTGTGTGTGCATCAGCACTGAACATGCACACACATAGCCCTGCTCTGCTTTAGGTCAGTGTCATGGTCCCTGCTTACCTTCCCTGCTGTGTTCCCTCTGTTATGCCCAAGGTCAGCCTGTATCACTCATGTCCTGGTGGGTGCGTATGTCTGCATTGTGAGAGCACACTGACAGACTGGAAACATGAGCCCTTCAGAGCAAAATATTCCTCTCAACCCTTGGCACGTCCCGTATGGGTGTTGCCAAATGGTTCTTTTTCGCTTGGTGACTCCTCGAGTGTCAGTCATGCCACCTCATTTCCACAGTGGTGATATATTGAAAACTGTGAAAACATGAAATGAAATTTGCCTCCTATTGCCAAGGAAGGCCTGGGCTGTGTAGTGAATATAAAACACTTCCTGATCATGGCTTTAAAGGAGTCAGGTTTCTCCCCTATTTTAAATGAATCAGGGTTTCTCATAGAGGTGGGAATTTCAGTCAATAGCAGAAATAAGACACACCCTTCTTTTCACAGGAAATCTAAACCCTGTGTCAGCATCAGTCCTATTTTTATCCACTAGCACCAGCTGCTGGATATTGGTGGAAACAGAAAAACTCGCAGAAATATGTAAACTGGTTAAAAAAGCAAATGGTAACACAGCAATGGAGCCACCACCTCCCTCCAGCTCCCACAGCTGGGCATCTCAGCCTTGAGTCTGTTGAACCCCCAGGTCCCAACATAACCAGGGAGTTATGCTGGGACCATTTTGGCAAGATGTCCAAGGCAGAAGGAAGAGAAGTTGGGCTGTGTTTCCCCAAAGGAACCCAGCCAGCATCAGATGCACCCTTCTTCCCCTCTCATTCCCTGGTTATGCTTGGACATCAGGGTCTTGACTGGAGACCCCCACCTGTGCATTGCTCAGAGGGCACAGCCGTGCCAAGCGGTTTCCTGGGGCAGGGCATTTGGAAGCTTTCCCCAGCCCCGGAATGGGAGGGCAGTTGGCAGCCGGCTACCGCTGCGCATCCGCCGGGGCTGGGAACGGGAGGCTGCCGGCTCTGCAAAAGCCATTTGCAACCTCCCCGTGCGTTCGGGCACCCGAGAAACTTCCTCTGCTCTGCTCACATGGGGAAGGCTCTGCCTGGAGCCTGCCCTGCAGCCTTGGGACGTGCTGGCCGCAGCAGCACACCGAGGCTGTGCCTTATCCCGCTGCCTGGTCACAGCCCGGTTTGTTCCCCATCGCTGGGGACATCTGGGAGTGACCCCGAGCAGCGTGTTACCCACAGCACAGCAGCAGGTTTGCAGGCACAGTACTGCTGCACACCGGCAGGGAGGGGACATGGGACAGCCCCCATCCCCGGGGACCCTGCTGCCCTCAGCCGTGCGACACGAAGGGGAGGGGGGGTGGCTGTGGGGCGAGACAAAGCCCACAGGTTTGAGGCAAGGCAGAAAACAGAGCCAAGCCCTGCATACCCACAGAAACCCTTTACTTTGCATGTTTATTTTGAACTTGCCTGAGAAAGCGTGAACCTGTGGGCTGAGAGCTGCTCAAGTGCAGCACGTCAGTGCAGGCAGAGTCTGCCTGTGAGAAAAACTGACTCCTTGCAGTACTGAGCCTCCTGGATTTCCCCACTTGCAGTTATTTTATCCGTGTGAAAATGCTGGTGCCAACCCTGCAGAAAACAGCAAATCACTGTGTTCACCCAGATGGGGTCACCTCTGCTGAGAAGGGTACAGAGGGGAAACCCAAGGGGAGGGTTGTGTTGACCACAGGGTGCTGGTTGAGTGAGGTACTGCAGGCTCCAACAGCCTGTAGCTGAGGCTGCACCAAGTGCTGGCATCTTTTCCTCTTCTCCTGCTCTTGAGAGTCGAAGGAGACCCTCCTGGGTGAGGAGACCTGCTGTGGCCAGACTCTATCCTGGGGTCACCCTCCCTGAGGCACATCTGGCATGCAGGGGGATGTTACAGGGATGCTCCTTAGCCCCTGCTCAGCACCAGTGACAAACCCATTTAACCCTCTTGGTCCTGCCATGCTTCATCCCAGGGTATTTCTCCCTTTTCCAGCCTGGGGTACAGGAGAGCTTGGCACAGCAGTGGTTGGGACCCAGCACTCACCAGGTGGCTTTCCAGTCCTCAACAGGATTGTTGGTTGCCTCTCGCCGGAGCCACAGGGCATGCAGGATCTCCTCCCCATTGCTGCCCACGTAGCACTGGCCCAGAAAGACAGTTGCCTGGGCTGTCTCTGAGTCTGGAAGGATTTGAAGCTGCATGAGTCAGGCACTGAGACACAAGGCCATCGCTCTGTGTCCTGCTGGCATCCCTGCTGCTGGATGACAGCCCCCTTCCCACCTACCTTGGAGCCACCAGTGCACGGTGAAGGAGAAGATGGGCTGTGGGACTAGCCCCGCATCTTGCTGGGACCCCTCCAGTGGCAAGGTGAGGATTTCAGAGTCACCAGTGGCAGATCCCGGCAGGTAGGAACCAGAGAATCTGCCATCCTTGCCGAGGGTGGACACGACCATCCGGCAGCCGGTGTCGCTCTGCCATGACCCGGAGAGGAGGCACTGCAAGGACAGCACGAGGCTTGGGGTGCCTGGGCAGGCAGGGGACATCCTGCTCCCAGCCCACCACCCTAGCTCTTCCCAGGAATGCCTGCAGCACTAGGTGACGTGCCACAGACCCGGAGTGCCACTGGCATCGCCCCCTCAGTGTGAGTGCCACACCTTAGCACTGGCTGCCTTCAGCCCAGGTGCTGCTTGGTGTGGTTTGATGCAAAGAGAGCAGGTCCCCCTCATGCTAGATCAGCAGGTGCGCTGCTTTCCTTGTATGCTTGGTGGGAAAACAGGAATTCTCTAGGACATGGCTCTGTTTGCCTGTTTCTGGAGGATTCCCACAGTGAGGGGTCACCCCTGTAGGAGTGGTCCCTCTCTCCCAACCTCACGGCAGCTTCCCTCAGTGCTGCACAGTGCTGGTCCCACCAGCTCCAGCAGCCTGGCCCTGGCTCCCTCTTGAGCTCTGCAGCCCCAGCAGCATCTTGGGGGTCTAGCAGGGTGCCAGTGCCCTGTCCCCACCGTCACCCATCCCCATACCTTCCTCTCTGCAGGGGCAACAGGTGCTGCCAGGGCCAGGGTGAGGATCAAGGCAAAGGCACTGCTCTCCATGGCCACACGGCTGCTGAGGGCCCGGCACAGCTCCCCGCAGCGCTGCAGCCCGGCCCCCTTTATAGGGCTGTAACCGGAGCCCCACCAGCACCAGGCTGGCAGCCGCGGGGTGAGTGGCCTGATGTCAGGCTGCCCGGGACAGGCAGGGAGGTGAGGAGGTCTGCATGACCTGGTCAGTGCTGGAGGAATGCGGGGATGAGCACGGTTTGCAGAGGGGTGGGTGCACAGGCGTTTCATGAGGCACTTATAGCAGCCTGGAAAAGGCCAATACCTTCCATGGGTATCCACCTCCTGTGCATGCAGGATGTAAATTGTCACCTGTTCAAACATTCACCCCCTTCCTGCTTTGCTGGTGCCACTGCAAGAACAGGGCGTCACCCAGGTGGTGCCTGGCAGGGGCCAGCTACAGCAGCTGGCAGAGCTGCACAGGAGGGAAGACTCACCTTGACTTCTGCTCTAGCAGCAATAACATTTCCCCAGCATATTCTGCATGTCAGCTGCTGATTACAATGCTTTTGCTTTTACTTTACTGGGAGTTAGAGGAAGAAGTAACCACAGCGAGATACTGAGGTATCTCACATCTAGTGTGTTTGCTTAATGCACACAGCATGATAACCAGCATTGTATTCACACCTTTTCCCTGTATTTGCTGTTCTAAAGGGCCTTGGATGTACAAAATGCAGCTTGCACTGCCCCTGTGTTCCTGAGCCATGTCTTTGCTCCCTGTGATGCCTGGAGCAGCCATGGGGCTGTAGGCAACTGAAAATTCAGGTGGGATTCAGCAGCATCACTCTGTGCTCTTTCCAGGTCAGCAGTATTTTAGGCGCTGGATGGCAGCAGGGCTGCAGTGTGCATACGGGGGTGGGGGGGAGTCCCTCCAGTGGAGTGGCATCTCTCAGTGCCCACCATGAGCCCTGGTGCACCCTGGCACCCTGCTGCTGCTGCTCAGCACATCTCCCTCTCATCCAGATAGCCCCAGAGGCTAGGGAAAACACCTCTCTCCTAACACATCCCTCCTCCTTGTTGCCTTTTTCTGTCCCATACTCACAGGCTTATCACAGGGGCCTGAGAAATCACCCAGGCGTTCCCTTGCTCTTGCCCTGGATGCCACGTTCTGTTCTGTTGGCCTGACACCACTCCCTGCCTTTCTGCACTCTTTGGCAGGGACAAGCTGCCCTGTTAGGGGTGCCAGGGAAGTGGCAGGCACCCCTCTACGTCATGGCACCGTGCTCTGGCCTTGCTGGAGCTGAGCCAGGCTCAACAGAATACTGCTGTCAACCCCAGGGCTGGAATATTTTTGTAACGCTTCTGCAAGAGGTTTCCTCTTCACCCACAGATCTGCCAAAACCTTCATGTTGAAAAGAGCTGACTAAGTTTGACAAGTGTCTGAGGAGGCAAATAGAGCAGCCCTGCCAAAATGCAGTGGCAGAGAAGGGTAAAATCCCTGGGTGTAACCCACAGGGATGGGATGGGATGGGATGGGATGGGATGGGGGCTTTAATTTGTGCACATTTTACATGGGGTGCCATATAGCACAAAGGAAGCACTGAACCAATATCTCACCTCTACTGATACTCTGCATCACCCAACCCTGCGGAGCACAGAGGTACTGGAAAGGGTCTGGTGGGGGTGGATATGAGGCAGTGTATGGAAATCAGCTGGATTCAGGATGCTGCTGCCAGCTCTGCCACCATCAAGCAGGTAGGGAGTGATGACATAGGGTGGAAGTTTGGGTTAAATAAGATGGGAAATGAAGCCAAGGGGCTGGATGAGTGGGATCAGGGAGAGACGTGGATGTCCCTGAGGAAGGGCAATGGTGAGCCCTCACCTCAGCAGGGGTATCCATGGGAACAGAAAGGGTAGCAAGGGCAGATTTATAAAAAAGGCAACCACACTGGATGATTTTTGAGTTTTATTTTCCTCTGAGAGGCAGGTTTTGTTGGAGGGGCCAGGCTGCAGCCAGATCATCCCATCATGGGGTTGGTGAAGACACATCCTCACAGGATGGGGACAAGCTCGGCAGGATCTTTCCTTTTGTGGTGCGTTTTCGTATGAAGACATTTCTGCCCACTCTGTGAGAAGTTGAGAGTTCCCCATGGGATGACCCACAGACACTGCCCAGTCAGAGCTGCCAGTGCCATTTAGGTGTCCCTAAATGCCCCCCAGCTTTCCTCAAGCAGCTGCCAGGTGTCCCTGGGCAGGGCAAGCCCTTTGCCAGGACACAGTGGTATCCCTGCTGCCAACCTGCACTGGGGGGCTCCCAGGGGTGGTCCCCCCTTGCTCAGAGGGCTGCTCATCCTCAAGGGTCCTGGAGAGGGCCCCTCTGTGGGACTGCTGCACCCCATGTCCCCATACTACCTCGTGGCTTTCCAGTCCTCCTTGAGGGACCCGACAGCTTCGCGCAGCAGCCACATGGTGGTCAGTGTTTCCTTTCCACCCGAATCCACGAAGCACTGCCCCGCGAAGGCAGTGGTGGCATCTGGGAGGAAGAGTTTATTGGGAGATCTGTGGGGAAACCAGCTGCTTCCCCTTCCCCACTGTCCTCTCAGAGGCAGCTGTGTTCCCACTCTAATGGCCACACATCCACCAAACCCACGCAGTGGGGGAGGGGTTCCTGCCTTTCCCCTGTGACTCCCTCAGACAAGGCAAGATCTGCATCACCTAATGGGGTCTGAACCCCCTGTGGGCACCCCGAGGTGTCCGGCTGGGATGGGGGTGAAGATGATGGGTGAGGAGAGGCTGCACTGTGCGAGCCCAGCATTGCCCCTTAGCCCCACACTGGGCAGGCACTGCTTAGCTGCGTCAAAACATCACCCAGCAGAATTCCTGGCAAAAGGGAATTCCTGCTAGCTGTCTACGTGGCTCTCAGTGACACTGCTGTACCATCTCCAGGTGTTCCAGTACTTACTAGAGAACTTGTCCCAGCGCACGGTGAAGGCAAAGGTGGGCCAGCCCCCCTCACCAGGCTGCTGCTGGATGCCCTTCAGGGGAGAGATGTGGGCACAGCCACCAGAGAGAGTGACCTGTGTGAGGTATTTTCCCTGGAAGTCCCCGTTGTCCCTCAGTGCTGAAATCTCCATCAGAGAGTCCTGCTCGTTCCTCCACAGCCCGATGAGCCGGCACTGAAGTGATAGAGCCACACCCTCTCAGTCCCCACACATGGCACAGAGGGGGACCCCATCCCTTCTGCTGCCCCAAAGCTGGAGCCACAAGCCCTGCTGCAGTTGCAGATGCAGTGCATGGCTCTCCCTGACCTCGGTTTGAGGCAATGCTCCCCCAGGGGGCTCCTGGATGCTGAGTGAGTGGTGGAGCAAAGCCAGTATTTCTCAGCCTGCTGGCAAGCACGGTGTGCTCACACAGACCCCGTGAGAGGGAGTGCCCTGTCTGCTGTACCCCTGGGCACCCTTCCCATGGGGTCCGTGCCCAGAGGTACAGCAGACAGGGCACTCCCTCTCACCCCTCCCATGGGGTCCATGCCCAGGGCACGGTACACCCAGATACAGACCCTGTGGAAAGCAATTCCCTGTGCACTGTACCCCTGGGCACAGACCCTGTGGGAAGGGATGGTCCCATGCATGGTTCCCTAGGCACCTATCCTATGGGAGGGGATGTCCCGTGCATGGTGCCCTAGACACATATCCCATGAGAGAGGATGCTCCATGCATAGTGTCCTGGACACACAACCTGTGGGACAGGGTGCCCCACGCATGGTGCCCCAGGACAAATATCCTATGGGAGGGGTTGTCCTGCGCATGGTGCCCTAGACATGTATCCCATGAGAGAGGATGCTCCATACATGGTGCCCCAGACACAGACCCCATGGGAAGGGGAGGGAATGCCCTGTGGGAGTAAAGCTTCCTGGAGGCGATACCAAGTGGCAGGGGGTGACCCGGAGATACCCTGCCCACTGCCTGGACGAGGTGCTTGCAAAGCTCTCCTGCTTGTCCAAGCCTAAATTGGCATGCAAGAGAGAACCCCTGGCTGCCCAGGCTGTGTCCCAGAGCCACATCTGCCACACTCCCATTGTCACCCCTGTCCATACCTTCCTCTCCGCAGGGGCAATGTGTGCTGCCACGGCCAGAGTGAGGACCAGGAGGAAAGTGCCTCTCTCCATGGCTGCCGGGCTGTGAAGTGCCTGGCACAGCTTCCTCCGGTGCCCTGCATCCCAGTCCCCTTTATAGGGCTGTAACCAGAGCCCAGGCGGCAGGCAGCGGGCTGGCAGCCGCGGGGCGAGTGGCCTGATGTCAGCGTGCCCAGGCCAGGTAAGGAGAGAGGGGGAGGAGGTCTGCATGACCTGGGGATGAGCACGGCTGCTCAGAGAGGTGAGGACAGAGGGATGATTTACATATCCACTACCCAAGAGGATCTGCCAACCCGTTCCTTGCTCAGCGTTGGAGTCCTGGAAGCGGGCACGGCCTGACACTGCCCCGCTGCCACCGACCCAGTGCTGCCACCCCAACATCGGGCTGCAGCAAGCACAGTCTGACCAGCTCTGCTCCGCTGCACTGAAGGGTGGTGTGTCTGCCCACAGGGACACATCCCTGTGACCATCCCCTCCTGCATTATAAATGTCTGCTGCTGTTTCTAAGCTGTTTTTCCTCCTGGCCGCTCTGGGCTTCCCCTGGGTCTGGGAGCTGTGACTGTGACTGCAGCAGGAACTGTTGAATGAATCCCCCTCCTAAGTGCAGAAGGGCTTTTCTGGAAGATACGTAGATGTTGAAATTTGCTTGTCCCTGTGGGAGGGGATGCCCTGTGCATGGTGGCTCCGCAGGCACCGTGGAAGATGATGCCACATCCACGGTGCTCTGAGGCTGGGCAGGATCCTGTCTGCGCCCTCCCACAGGGCCCCTAATGGTACGAGACTGTGCTGGGGATGTACAGGTGGCCAGGGGTGCTCAAAATGCCTGGCCTTTGCACAGGGACACAGTGCAGACACATCCTCTAAGATATCACTCCAGACAGGTGAATGTGTCGCTGCCCATGCTGCAGGGGAAGAGAGA